ATATGCTGCAAAAGCCTCCCCCTACCCAATGCTTTACACTTTCTCTTCATGCATATTCTTCTCCCCTTCTCATTATAGCCTCCCACTTCATCCTGCTGTTTCTTTCTCCCCAGGAGAGCTTTAGTTGCACTAAGGAAGCCAAATACTTCGTATAAAACACCCATTCAGTTTTTCTTCTGGCTTGTTTGCCCGAAGTCACCTAGACCATAGGGGAGAGATGCTCAGGATCTCATCTCTAAATTTAACCAGTTCTTTTTTAGCCAGTATTATTTTTACCAGTCTCATGTAAACACATATTTAAGGAGCTGGGAGGAACATCACTTTGAGAGATGAGACCAGGGTGCATCCCAGCCAAAGCTGTCCTGTCTTGCAGAGAGCAAACCGTGTGATCACAGTGTGTCCCTGCACGGCACGTATCAGACTGGGAGCACTATATACAGCCAAGCTGTGCCCCACCGATGTTCAGCACCCCCAGCCCAGGCTGTGGGTCCTGGCAGGGCTTTAGGGACATCCAGTGCTCCAACAGCTGAAGCAAAGCCAAGAGACTCCAAGAGAAAAGACAGGGAGCCAACAGACATGCAGCCAGCAGGAGGACCCGGCCTCTTCCTCCAGAACAGGGCTGAAGCATCATCCAAAGGATAATTCCCATTTGACAGGCAGGAAGCACTCAAACAGCCACTGATGTTCTACCTTAGGAACCAGCCAGGGAGCAAACGCACACGTCCTCATGCCCGGGTCAGCTCAAGTATCTGGGTGGGAAAAACTCTTCAGGCTTCATGTTCTTAATACACAGAAATACAGCATTCCAGGTCTCACTAAGCCCCTGTGTTAGAGAGAACACCACAGGAGGCAGCTGCTGCCTGTGGTGTGTGAGTTTGGGTTGAGCAGCCCCATCCATCCTCACCCCAACACTGAGCTCTCTCGGGTGCTCACACGGCTGCTTTCTGTTTTCTTTGTGGAGCTCCCCAAAATTACCCTCCGCATTTCACCTGGCAGAGCTCCTGCACTGTAGCTCTAACACCAAATCACTGACTTTGTTACATGAACAGAGGTGAAAAACATGCCACAGCTGCTGGGTCTGGCAGTGCCAAACCAGTCACATCCTTTCTTAGATCTCTGCTTTTTCCTAATGGCAGATCAAAGCTCTTTTTGGCAGTAAGGTTCTGAGGCATTTGCTAAAGTCTTTGCTGCAACCAGCAGTGATTGAATACAAATCACAACTGACAGGTCAGCACAACGAGTTTAGTATCACCTTGAAGCATTATCAGAATCTAGGTTAAATCTTTCTAGCTAAGTCTAAGCAATTAAAGTTATTTCCCTCCTAGTTTCTTTCTGCAGCTGTGGTACCTCTGCATTTCAGGGGTCCACTTGGATATGAGTTTTACCACTAATTGCAACCAAAGAATGAAGGGGAGAAGCTGATGGGACACACAACACAGCTGGGTCATTACTAAGCTTTCTGCACAGAGTGGGATTGTGTGTGTGTGTGTGCACTATACGCACCTGAAGGGTTGCAAATAAGGACACATTCCTAAAGTCCAAGCATCTTCTTGAACCTGCAAACCAGCAGCACCAACCAAATGTTCTTTGCAAGAAGACCGTGGGACCCAGTGTGATGCAAGTCCAGTAGCAGGGGCTGATGGTGAATTTGATGATGTGACTTATGGTGGTTTCCAGAACAGCCATAACCTTCTTGCATGTCCCTGGAGTGAAACCCACAGGAGACAAGGAGGAGAGGATGAGCAGAGTGTCCCTCACATTTCTTCCCCTAGCACATCCATGCAGCAGTGTCCTGGGGCCAGGGCATGAGTTTGGGGGTTGAGGAGCTCACCGAGAAGCTGGAGAAAGGGTTGGTTTCCTGAATTCATCTTGGGGTGAGAAGATCATCTAGAGCAAACACCGCGGGACCAAGCAAAGGCTCCCTGGGTGCTAGTGGAGAAGGTGGAGAGCCGGCGGCCACTTGATTTCCTCATCCAGGTTCCACTGAAATCCCCAGGTTGGATTTTTGCACTGAGTTGATTGGAGTTTCTCACTGAGGGGAGAAAAAACATTCCAGGCCTGGAAATTCTCTCTCTGGTGGTTGGGTTTAGTATCTTGCAGTATATACGTTACCTTTAAGCACTGTCACTGCTCCTCGGATGAACTCTTCAGGCTCCACTGAGCAGAGGGGTCGTGGGGAGATCCTGCTGCAACCAACTTCAAGAAGACATTCACATCATGTGGGGTTCGGTGGAAACAGTAAACTTGATTTATTGAAAAAATCTATTACATTTATTCCTTTATTACACAGGTTTAAAATATTTTAAAATAGCTCTTATGGGCATTACACTTAAATTTTATGACATGTTTATTGGACTTTGAAGAAATGTACAATATGTCACTTGACACTATAGTTTAAAAAGGGCCTTATGTACTAGAATTTGTTTTTCCATAGGCTTTATTTTTCTTATCAACATTTGTTCAAGTCAATATATATTAAGGGAGGAGGGAAATAAAATTACACAAAAAGAATGTCTGCAAATACAAGTAGTAATTTTATTGCAATATACCGTAGCTAAGTGGTCTGGGGGAATCAGAACAGTCGGGAGCTCAGTACAATTACAACACTGTGGAACTCGACAGAGGATTTTTTTTTTTTCTTTTCTTAAAGCAATGAAATAAAAGGAAAAAAAATAAAAGAAAAAAGCTCCCTTGATGAAAATTTATAACAGAATCACATGACCTGGGCAGGCACACACATGTGTACATACATCAAGATATGGCTTTTCTGTTGCAGGGAGGAACGTGCAACCTTTCCTGACCTTCCCACTGCTCCTGAACAAGGCTGTTGCCAAGGTGACTGAGAAGCTGAATTCTCCTATATATTATTATCATATTCTTCTTTTCACTGCTTTGCTGCCGGAGTCTGCAGGGTTTAGGGTAGCACCTTATATATTTTTCTTGTCCCCCAAGTGGAAAAACAATAATGTAAGAGAACAGAGCAGGAGAAGGGAGAGGGATGGACATGGCTCTCCCAGACCGACAAGCACCGCGCGGCATCGCCGCTGCCTCCAGCACGGCTTCGCCTCCCTTCCTTGGCTGCTGCTGCTCTCTGCTTGGGAAGGAGGGGGGAGAAGACATCAGATATAGGCCTTTCTTCACAGTAAATGTGATGTCTTTTCCTTTACGGTGAAAGCCCCCCTTTGGCTCAAGCGCTGCTGGAATTCTCCAGGCCAAGTAATTAAAAAAGCACCCTGCAACATCTATTTTCCAGCTGAGAGATCTAACCAAGGAAAACGGGCAGGGGGAAGACACACAGACAAACACATGGAAAAAGAAGATGGTACCACCAGGTTGCGAGCCGAAAACGCTGCATGGGAAAAGAAAAACCCCATCCTGGCATTGCCACCGTGGGAAGACCAAGAGAACTGCAGACTCCCGGGAACGCGGCGGGCGGCATCCCACCCGGCTTCAGCATCGCATCAGGACAGCCAGCAACTACATAAATTAGCACCACAAACATGCAGCGAGTGGGTACAATCTGGTGTGGCTCCCACTGCCTGAGAGGCAGCGATATTCTTGGGGAAGAAGGAGAAAAAAAGATGTGAACACTTAATACTTTTTCTACATGGACCGTACGAAGGAACGAGTGGGTCTTCTACGTAACAAGTACAGAGGGGACATGCATTTATAATCAAAGACTGTAGCAAAAGCCTCCAGTCTGCGTTGAAAGCAGCTAAAAAGCAAAAGCTGGTGGGAGATTGGCCAATGGCAGGGTATCACCAGTGTTCTCTTAAAGTCATTCAAATAGATAGCACCACAGAGACATGTAAAAATAAAAAGCACCTTTTTGTTTCCTTTTCTTTACACTTTATATTCAGAGAGGACCAATGGGTTTTCCCTTGCCACTGCAATCTGCCGCTGAGAATGGAGGGGGGGTTTAAATCATTATTACTTTAAAAGAATGTTAAATGAAAAAAAAGGAAGAATTAATTTAAAACATGGATGTGAAGGTAAGCAAGTGGATAAAAAGGCAGAGACTCAAAGCAGATCCTGCTTGTACATCAGGGTTTTTGTAGAGACCTTGTTAAAATGTGGCTTTAACTTCCTTATTCTGAAAGGAATCATTCTACAACATGGAATTGCCACCCTGTGGGCCCTCATCCTGCCAAGGCTCGTGCCTGGGTACAATTACAAGACCCTCCGGGGCCAGGGTTGGGGTTCGGAAGAGGCAGGAGCAGGTTTGCTGAGAGCCACTGACCGTGTCCCTGGGTGAACGCTTGCCTGGGTGGTGGTGGGAAGGGAGCTGGGTTCAATCTGGGCAGGGTCACATGCATGTTTTGAAGCCAGAAACATTTCAGCATTTAAAATAATATACAATACAAATATTTACTTACAAACATACAAAAATATAAGCACCTTTAATACATGGGAGAGAGATGCCCAGTGCGACTTTTCCCTACCAAATTCATGGGGTGTAATTTTGTAAAAGGTGGAATTACATGATTCAGTGGAGATATTAAATATTCTGGAAGTGACCATGACATCTACTTGCTAGAGCTGGTCCCAATCTGCTGGAAGTCAACAAAATGCCTCCAATGAGCTTTGACAGGTTTGGGTTGGAGCCAGGAGTGCCGGGATTTCCACGTTGAGCTGAACACTGGAGTTTCAAGGTTCTTCCATTTTTCCGCAGAAGCAAACAATGATCTACAGGCAAGTGCTTGGTATCGCTTCGTGGCAAGAAGAAGATGAAACAGCAGAAGCAGCAGCAGCCTTTGCTGGCGGTGGGGCCTGCTGGGTGGCCATGGAGCAGCAGCGGTGGGAGCAGCACAGGGCCAGGTCCCTGGGCCACACGTGCAGCGGTTGGTCATGAGATTCTGTGGTGGGATGGTTCCTCGCGGGGAGCGGAGGAACCAGGGCAGGATGAGGAACAAAACGAAACGGGGATAAAAAATAACCCATCGCTGTCCAGTTTCAGAACGTGCATGTGACAAGGAATTCTTTTTTCTCTTTTTTTCTTGTTTTTAATTAATTAAATGGCGCAATGAGGTTACGAGGTTGCTCATTTGGAGACTAGTTTTCAGGTGGCTCTTAGCCCATGAAGCAAGCTGGTCCCACCTCGAATCCAAATTTCTGTGATGCTTCTCCGAAGTCATTGAACATGATGTCGACTATAGGAACTTGCTCTACTTTGGGTGTGTTGATTTCCAGGATAGTCTTCTGATAGCCCTTCTTTGCCTGATAGGGAGAAAAGAGAGAAGAGGAGCTCTGGTGATGTCTTCAACCCAACAGCAGCAAGTTCACATGGATAAGCATTCACCAGTAAGCTGGGAATACCGCGATGATCTTACCCAGTCATTTCTGAGCTGAATTTGAAGCACCCAACCGCACATTTGCCCTGCAGATTTAGCAGAGAGGCTCTCAAGCAGGATGGTGACCCACTGATGATGGCCCTATTGTCCTGAGCCCAGACTTTGGAGCAGAAGAAGCTGCTGCTTCCATGCACATCAAAAGACACTAAGTCTGCTGTTAGCACGTCTCACAGCTGGAACAGGAGCCTGGTTGTGGTATAGCTGTTTTGCATCCCCGAGGACACACATGGGTTGTTGAGCAAATAGAAGGGATTTAATTTGAATATATTAGTTTGACTATTATCCCAGTGCTACCGGAAAGATCCCATTTAAAGTCTGATGGAATTCACAAGGTGATGGTGTCTTTTTAGTGTGCCTGGTAGCCACGCGCTTAGTTCCAAAGTATAAATAATTATTAGAGAAGCAGAAGTGCCCCTGAGGGCGTACAGAGCTGCACAAACAAGTGGATTTATGGAGCAGCTTTTGGCTCTACTGTACCCTCTGATTTGTGTGTCTCGGAAGAATAGGCTGTATCACAGAATGAGCTGTGATAACACATTCAAATAACAGCCTAAACATCAGCCTTTAGCATGGGTCCTTCCAGGACTCCTGTGGCAGCTCCATGCCAGGCAGCCCAACCTCATTTTCCACATGGTGGGGCTCAATCTTAAGTATCTTGCCTGTGGTTCAGGAAAGATGATCTACCAGGGTACCATAAATGGTACAGGAGATGCAGAGCCTTTCTGCAAGGCTGCAATAAGCTCCTTTGTCATCTTTTACCTCCTTTCTACAGCCCATAAGAACATCTCTTGCAGAGAGAGGCGGCCTGTGAGAAGCAACCAAGCAAATAAACTCAAAGGAGCTCCAGTCCTTTTTCCATGCAAATATCCCTCATTAGGGAGAGCAATGCCCGGCACCTGAGCCAAATAACTTAAACCAAAAGGGTTTTCAGCCAGCACACCTGCCTTAAAACTTGCAATGTGTGATCCTGCAGCATCCCTGACACTTAAGAAGGGAAAGGCAGAGGGAAGGCACTTTCCAGCAAGGACACATTGCTTTAGCAGGATATATGAAGTACTTGAGGATAAACTTCACAACATGGCTTCAGAAGTGGGATGGATGAATGGATGCCCTTTCCCTCCCTCTGAGAGTGCTAAAAGAAGTGATTCTTATCTGATTTTCCTCATTGCTCCTACAGTAAAACATATGAATGTGCCAGAACAGAACCACTTTAATCTCGTATTCTGTGGAGGCCTTTTTCTTTCGAACATCTCAATCTTTCTGTCCCGTGGGCTTCAAGTGCTGCAGTTCCAGAGGGTGAGAATTACATGTGCCTCTGCACCAGCATGCTGGGGCTCAAAATAAACACCAGCAGCACCCGCTTTGCCAAAATTTTTAGCTCCTGAGGGCAGATTTTTCAGAGCTCAATCCCATATCAGGCATCCAACCATCCAACAACAGGAGGCAGAGGCAAAGGGAGGATGCTGGGTCCCTTCAGAAACTCACTGCTCGCCTCTCCCTGGATGAGTGAATAAAGTTGGATAAAGCCAACTGTATTCTGGGCTGTATCAAAAGAAGCGTGACCAGCAGGTCAAAGGAGGTGATCCTGCCCCTCTACTCTGCTCTTGTGAGACCTCACTTGGAGTATTGTGTACCGTTCTGGTGTCCTCAACATAAAAAGGCCATGAAGCTGCTGGAGCATGTCCAGAGGAGGGCCACGAGGATGATAAGAGGACTGGAGCACCTCCCGTATGAAGACAGGCTGAGAAAGTTGGGGCTGTTCAGCCTGGAGAAGAGAAGGCTGCGTGGAGACCTCATAGCAGGCTTCCCATAT